AGCTAATGGCCCGGTCGTAGTCCTGCTGCAACTTCTGCTGCAGGGTGTCAGCTGCTACCTTGCCAAGGGCCATGTTGGGCCTTGTGGTCATGCAAGGGGAGCAGCTGACGGAAGGGGACAGATTCTTAAAGCCACCCATAAGTTTGAGAAATTTCAGTTTCTGTTCCTTGTTTTCAAAATCTGCAGTATCCCACTGGCCAAACTGGGTTCCCTATGTTAGGAGAAAAAAACAATTACTTTCCCTGAATCCAAAGGCCTTTCCTTCCCTGAACCCAAGCCCCACCAAGGATAATTCAGCTGGTTAAAATACCAGGCAGAGTACCACTAAGCCTAGCAGATTGCCTTCTTAATGCAAGCAGAGCCCTCCAAGGAGCATTGTGGTCATTCCTAGAAAACATAGCACACCTCTCCACAGCTGCTGGCCCATCACCTGAGGGTAGCAGGGAAGGCCACAGTGCAGAAGAGTCATACAACCAAGTCACTGGCTCTGCCAACCCAGGACCTTGGAGTTCTCAATTCTAGCCAAAGCACTTTACCACCCACATGAAAATCTCTATGTGCAAGAAAATTCGAGAGAGCCCCTCAAAACCCCTCATGGGAGAGGCAAGAATCCCAGCTCTCCCAAGATGTGATTCAAAGTCATAGTCCTGGATGAAGCCCCACCTGTCACAACTCTGGTCAAGTTACCCTACCTTTCTGACCCCCAGGGTCCTCATCTACAAGATGGAGGTGTTGACTCCCTACCCCCTACGCAATTCCTGGCAAATCTGAGGTCCTTGTGACAGCCATTCTGGCCCTACCCACACCAGGCTGCTGACCCCTGCCCTGCCCAGGAACTTTCCACCTACAAGCCAAATGCCAGGCCTGCATGCTTTTCTAGGTCATCTTTGGGAGAATGATCAGAACCAAGGTGCCACTGCAGCTCCCGAGTGAGCTGATGACACATCCTCCTCACTGCACAGTGGCCCAGATGTGGGAACCAGTACAGCTTAAGTGGAGCATCTAGAGCAGAGGTGGCCTGTGACACATGCTGGCCATGCCTGGTGAGCTGGTCATCCCAAGGCTGTTAGCTACTACCCAGATGCTGACAGCCTAGAACCCCACTGTCCTGCGGGTAGTGCCAGGTGGAGCATGCAACATTCCAACCCCAGAATCTGCTATCAAGTCCTTTCCAGTACAGCCACTTGCCATTACTCTATCAAGGTGACTTACCAGCCCTGCTCAGCTCTAAAGGATAGACAAGACATCTAACAAAGCCTCCATCTATACCCCACATGCAAGACATGAGGCCACTTTCATAGGTGTGGTAACAGGCTGAAAGGGAAGTGCTTGCTTTTAGAGACTCAGATTTTAGCCAGAGGAAAAGGTAGTAACTTATTTTAGGTGTTCTTATCCAAAGCAGCACTCAGAGGAGCTCCACAATGGTGTGAAGTTACTCAGCTGGATGACAGGAGTAGGGAAAGACAGAAGCAACCCACCATTCATAGGAGGCCTGCTTCATGGCCCAAGAGCTGGCCTCACACCTATCTTCTTGAGTTCCAACTGGATCTTATACTAGTCCTGAGAGGCCTGTCACTGTTCCCACCTCCTGTGTGACTCCCACCCCTGCCTAGCAGCCCTTGTCCCCCACTCCCCACCCCCCAACAGAGCAGGAGTCAAAGGTCCAGGCAGCTTTTCTCACCCACCCAATTCCCCAGGAGAGGGAGGAAGGCAGGCACACCTCTCAAAAAGTAAGGAAAGTAACACAGGACTAACTGCTGCAGAGGCAGTGGCAAGTGGGCTGGGCTTCTCAGAGGCCTGGCCAAGGACCAGGCATTTGAGAGACTGACACGAAACTCACCGTCCACTTCCTGGGTTCAAATGCTTCTGTCTTGCCTGACTCCCGATCAATCTCTTCCTGCAAGGCCTTTCGCCTCACCTAACAAGACCACAAAAGGGGAAGAGACAGGGATGTTACTTCTGACCTTAATATGCAGGACAGAAGGCTGAGTAACGCAGGGTGGCAGGCAGTGGTAAACCTTACTCTGCTAGACTCTGTGCAAGGCCTTGTCAGAAGCACCTCAGGGCTGCAGCTCTTGGGCTTGAGATGCACAGAGCTCATTTATCTTTCCACACGGTACTTTCTTTGTTTTTGGTGGTGGTACTAGGGACTGAGTATCTGGGTATGACTTTAGTCCCCACAATCTGTCATCCCTTTTCTTCCTTTTTAACCTTCCCAAGGCTGTCAAGTGACAGACATCTCACACAATTTCAAACTACAAAAAACAGGAGCCAAGGTGACAGCTGTAGAGATGGGAAAAAACAAAGGTCCATCCCTCCAGTGAAGTCATGCTACCCATGTGCAAGGATGTTAACAGATGTGCGTATGCTTGAAGGAAAAGCAGGTGTAACTAAAAGAAGTTAAAAGAACAGGGCTGGGGATGTAGCTCCGTGGCACAGCACCTGCCTGGCAAGTGCAGAACAATGTACATACTGCCATCCCATGCTGCTAAATTACACTTAAAATACACAGTTACAACTGAAAAATATGGAAGAACACACAAAGGGCTAACACTGACTAGCAGTACAGGCGGTAAGATTTCAGGTGATTTTTTTTTTCTCTCCATGTGTGTTATTTTCCCATTTTTAAACATAATCTTTCAGTATTTCCAGGAAAAAGGAAAGGTTAAAAAAAAAAAGGAAAGGTTAAGTCACACGGCAGCTGTCCCTCAATGATCAGATACTGTCTTGGAAATCTGTATTGACCAGACACAAGTAACTACAGAGCTTTAAAGAGCTTTGTGCACAGCAGCATGACTGCTCAGGCTCTGGGCTCTCACTGTGACCTCAGGAGCCAAGCGGACCAGCAAGGGCCAGGGCCCGGACAAGCAGGGCCTCATCACTACCCTGTGCCTGACACCCAGCCTTACTACTGCAGCTCAGGCAGCGCAGGCCCAGCCTCAGCCCTGGGGAGCCAAGTGGGACCATGCCATGCAGAGCGGCTCTGGCAGTGTCAGCCTGCTCACCCTCTAAGGAGAGCTCCCACAGCCCCAAAGCAGCCTGGATCCTCAGACTCAGCTCACTTCTAAATGCTCCCTCAAGTTCTCTCCCGGGGTGGGGGAGCCATGAGACAGGCCCCTCCATCTCACTCCCACACCTGCTGCTTCTCTCAGGCACCAGCGTAGCTCTTCACAGTGATTCACAGGACAGTTGGGAACAGCAGCCCTCAGGCCAGCCCCGCCAACTCCTTCAAATCATGACCTCACTATGTCTGCAGTGCAATCTGAGAAGACCTGTGCAGTTCATCTTCCCTCCAAGGGGAAAAGGAGGATCACTGTATGGCTGCAGCCTGCCCAGGTCCCATGGTAAAGCACAGCACAAAGCCAGACTTCTGAAGCCACCCTTGAGTCCTAATAAGTCTGGGACTTCAGGCTCAAACAAATCCCCTATTCCAGAAAATTTTGTTCCCACACTGTTACGGTTTGTGTATGTGTCCCCCCTAAAGCCTCATGCAGTCATGGAACTGCTTCTGGAGTTTGTGATTGATCATTGTGGGTGTGTGTGCTGCACTTGCCCTGGGGCAGGTAATTTGTAGTACAATGAAAGAGGGCAGAGAGGCTAGCTAGCAGCCTGAGCTGCGGCCACTTTTTTGCTCTTGCTCTTCGCCACTGCCATATTGCTCTCCAACATGTGCCAATTTGCGCCAGCTAAGGATGGACTGAAACCTCCATTAACTGTGAGCTAAATAAACCTTTCCTTCCCTAATTTTGTGTCAGGCATCTGTCCCAACAAGAGACAGTAACTGAGACACACACCAAACACATCTGCAGAAGAGCCAAGCACAGCAGAAGCAGAAGCTGGCCTACAGCAGAACCCCTCCCCTACACACTCCTGAAGTTGCAACTGAGCTGGCTGAGCACATGCACTCTGCCCTGGCTGCTGACACGGAGATGTCCATTCCCAGCATCCTGCAGTGGATGACAGATTCGGCACCCATCGGGTCCCTCAGCCACAGCCTCAACAGCGTTGGGGTCCTTGGGGATGGGGTGCAGGCCATGAGCTCCCTGCCGCTAGAGGTGTGCCATAGAAGCTAGGAAGTGTAGCCTTTGGAGATGCTGGTGCCTCTTAGACCAGGATCTTGGGACCTGTGGATCCTGGGGGTGGCTGGAGGCAGAGGGAGGGCCACACCTGGTCTATGTGTGCCTCGTCCATGTTGCCTTTCTTCTCCATCACCACCTCCAGGTCTGTATCTGGCTCCTGTGTGAGAAGAAGAAGGCAGGCGAGGTTCAGTATACAATGAATGGCCCATGCCACAGCAGCCAGCTGGGTGAAGTAGCAAAGTCCAAAAAAGACCCCAGACCACAGCATCACTCTGCCACCTGTCAGCTGACAAAACCCTGCATACCATCTTTCCTTAAAACAGGTGACATAAAGCTATCTGACAAACAGGCCTGGAGAGCAAAGTGATCAATGTAAGATCACCATGCCACTCAGGGATAGGACTGATTCTAACCATGACTTCTGGCTCAGGGCATGGTGTGTCACCTTTTTTCCTACTATCTTTTCTACTAATGTCACCTGATCTTCTATAATGACAACAAAACAGCAAGAAGCCAAAAGCCCTACTGATAACATGAGAGGACTGACAGGGGCTAGAGAATGCACAAGTGCTTTCTGGGCCCTGCCAGGAACAGACCACCTGAGTGTCTCCTTGAGGGGTATCTCCTGAGTCCTAGAGGCCACCTTCTGTTTTGTCAGGACAATCAGGACATCTTAATACCTGCTTTCCCAACCCATCCAGGTCCATTAAGTACTGCAGCTTGGTATGTTTTCAAATCTCTGTGGTGTCACGTCTCTTCCTCTCCTATACCCACGAGGAGCTGCACTCTTGTTCTCAGGCCTCTGTGGGTGCATATCACATAGACCTATCCATCCCCACACTGCCATTGCGCTGACTCACTCAGCTCTGCTGCTGGGCCTCTGTACTTGTCACTCCATCCATACAGTGGAGGCCCTTGCAGACCTCAGTTCTGGGGCCATTTTCACTGGGGTTATTTTCACTAACCATACCCCCAGGATATACTAACAATGAGACCTCAAGGTGGTTGCCTTTCCCTGTCCTTCATTAGACTCAACTGTCAACAACTCATATGTCCTTACCCAGGTGTGTACTACCTGGCACCTGGTACCATGGGATGTCTGAAGGATGCTCTCTTGCCTTACAGCACCCATCTAGCTGTGGAAGAAAAGCATGCCTCTCCCTGACTCAGGAGCCACTCTTGGAGGCGGAACTCGCAGGGTGGGAGATGCTGAACAGAGGGAACCCTTTTCCCTGGTCTCCTGGGGGTAAGGGATTCTAGATTTGAGTGGGGCTGGCTCCAAGCCTCTGAGTTCCTCCTGACTTCAAGTTTCTAAAGACAAACAGTGATGAAACCAAATCTAATGGTGAGGGTAAAGCTGGGAAATCTAAATCAGCAACAAGAACCACTTCTTTTAGGGCAGTGTGGAAGCTACCCAGTCAGGGCAAACTGAGTACAGACCACAGGGATGAGCTCCAGTGGGCCGGGGCAGCTCTCTCCAGGCTCCTCCCTGGGCCAGGCTGGTCCCTAGAAAACACATAAGAGCTGAGGCTGGTTGTTTATAGGAAAATTCAACAGCTAAGATCTGGCTCAGTAGTACAGCACTTGTCTAACATGTGAGGCCCTGGGTTCATCCTTGTATCACAAACAGGAAAAGTGAAAAAGAAATGAATAGTGGAAAACCCAGACTATTAAGGCCTATACAACTAGCCTTCATGTGGCCCCTGCCTACCTCATCTCTGTGAGGAAAGAGGACCTAGGGGTGTCTCATGGAAGACCATCATTTCTTGAGCTTCAAGGACTGGTTTCTAGGAAAGTGTCCACAGGATTCTAAGAAGGAACCCAGGTCTGGATCTGGGTACCAGCCCTACTCCCCTAAGTCTCAGTTTCCTTGCCTGTTAGATGGGATGACAGGAACAGCTACCTCACCACACAGGTGGGTGGATGCAACAGGTCAACACATGGACAGCACTTATCACCACCTAGACACACAGTAAGCTCTCAGGAAATGGCAGCAACTTGGATGGCACATACTACATTACAGGACACATACAATCTTATTTCTACTCGCATGTCCACCCACCTGCATACCCTGAGGTCAGAAATGGTGACTTGACCCAGCTAGTAAAGGTTACAGGTCAGAAGTCTCTGGCCTGGCTCTCTAGCACTGCCCTCCAGGCTCCAAGAGGCCTTTGAGGAGGAAGACAGCCGATCTCAGTGATATCACTAAGCTGCTGTCCACTCCTTTGCTTCTGGTAAGAAGACTCCAGTTTTCCTTTCAGGAACTATCCCCACCCCTAATCACAAAGGCCAAGGTTTAGGTGGGACTGGCACCCTCAACACCTCACTCCTGGTTTCATATCAAGGCTTCCAGTGAGTGATCCAACTGAGACTTCTGACAGCAGCCCTGGAACATTTCCTATAATCATCCAGAGGGGCCACCCTTCTTTTGGGGGTGGTCAAACTACTAGATGAAAGCCACAAACTAGGGGTTGGAGAGCAGAGAGGAGACTAGGATGAAAACTAAAATACACAGCGACACAGCCATCTTCTGCTTTGTAAGTACATTTCATTCCTACATCACATGTACTGAGCTCAACCTTTAGCAAATGGCAGTTCAGAGATCACAGGATCCACCTGAAAAACTGATCCTAAATTACTCAGAATCTGAGCACAGAGGGTCAGAATTTGGGTACAGCTTTGATCACAAGGGATACCTATACTATACTGTGTGAACTCCTACACCAGCCATTCTTGAAGCTGGGTACTCATATCCTGTCTAATTATGTGTCAACAGCCCATCCCCCCAAGTTTTGGAAGCTAAAAGCCTAAGTGTCCATGCATTCGTAAACATATATTCACGTGCAATTTACACTCCTAATACCTGCTTCTACTATACCAAGGAAAGATCCATTTCTAAAGCAAAACCTACCTCCTCCAAGGGGTCTACTGTTACCGTGCTCTCTTTCTTCTTCTTTTTCTTCCTTTTCTGAGCCAGCTCAACAACTGGATTTTCTTCCTTTTTCTTAGCCTTTGTTTTCTTCTTCACTCTGGCTTTAGGGTGATCTCCTAGTGGGATGTACTCTACAACCTCAATTCTGACTGGCTTCTTCTT